CTTGGTTCTTTAAGCTTGCAATAGAAATTTATTACAGCAATTCAATAAAATGTCTCTCATAAAAGTCAAGCAGGCGGTTGATACAGCAATTTGGTAAAGTGTTTCTCATATTAACCACATCTATCAGAAAACTAAAAATGGCGTATTAGTTGGAAAAAACATTCATTACCCTTAATGTGAAAAAAAAATCATAATTTCAGTACTTGCCTTGTGCAGTTTTTTAAATGCTAGCTTTTTTAAAAAATCATAATAACAATTTTTTTGTATCATGTTTTTCCTCAAAAAGTAGAGAACTAACTAGAACGAGATTTGATCAATCAACTATGCTGGACTTTGATTTCACGCAACTATCTTCGGGTCGCAAACAAAGAGGCGCAATAAAGCCAAAGAACAAGAATGCTGAAAACAAATAATTTTTCTAGGTTGCTTGAAATGAGCCATTCTACAATAATTTAACTTAGAAAGCCAATTTAGGAGAGTAATTTGTTTGTTTTGATTCATGCCACAAAAAATCACAGAAGTGTTCTTGTTTTCTAAGTTTTCCAGTTTTCTGATTTAGTTTTTAAAGCACTTAGTTATAGTTAAAACATAGTTGAAAGATGCCCAAGAGAAGAAAAGCCCGGCCTGAAGGCACGAAGTGCCCGATGGCGGCTCTTTTGCCCGTGGCCATCTTCACCTCAACTATGCTCTAACAATTGATGAGTATGTTTTTGCATTTCTGTTTGTTTTTGCTCTTTCAATTGCTCTAATCGAGCTTCTTTCAAAAAACGAGCCCGGTAAATTGTGAAAAGTGCGCGAAACTATGCAAGTGAGAACATTTGTGAAAGATCAAAAACATACTCTTCCTTTTATTTAGTCCTCGTTAAAGAGTTTTTTGAAAAAAGTTTTGGCAAACTTGTAGGTAAATTAACTAAATGCACCTTCTTACTTATAAACATAATCGGGCATTAAAAAACGGTGAGCGAAAAACAGTGAAACAAAGTTGATTAATATTTTTTACATTTTTTATACATTTTTTGTGGTGTTCTGTTTAATTTGATTTTTGTAAATCATAGTAGTTTCATCACACCGTGCAATGAAAGTGTGACACAGAAGCCTCAAGAAACTAACAGAGTCCCTAATTTAAATACATTTCATCATAACGGGTCGTTTCATTGCCTCGGTAATGTCAGTTAAGGCATCAAATATGTAAGAGCAAACGCGGCAGATTAAAAAATCTTTAAATTATTTCCGAAAATGTCTTGAAATTGATCGGGCAGCATCCATTGATTAATTTAGTTTCTACATTTGTGCAGAATTTACTTCCGTGCTATATTGATCAGAAAAAGGTACTTCCATGCTTATTTCACAACAGCATGCCATTTGAAGGTACGGGAAGGAAGTCCAACTTTCGAAAACAAAACAAAAACAGCTTAAACTAACAGAGGAAAAATGGGTTTTTACGCCACTTTTTTTCTGATCTGATCTTCTCGCCGTATTGGCAACTATTTTGATTTAACTAATAACGAATTGCCATCCTTACAACAAATTAGTTTTCGGTTAAGTATATATGATTTTCGTACCTAAAAACAAAAACTTTTGAAATAGTTTTGATTACTTAAGGTTTCCTATCTCTATTTCTCGACTTGGGAAATAGTTTGAATCTTTTTACTTTTTCCGCCCAAATTTCCTAATTTTGCAATTTTGTAATATTAAAAGAACAGATACAGAGAATAAATCAATGACCACTGATTAGTTAGGTTCAGGGGCGGATCTAGGATTTTCTCGAGGGGGGGCGGATTTTCAAAAATTTTCGAAAATTTTGAAGAACTTTTTTTTTTTAGGTCGACCAAATAGATTTTTCGAGCTCTCCCCAAAGCACGGTTTTGTCCTTATTTTGGCCAAATTTTTTGCGCCGCAGGCAAAAGTTTGAAAAAACAGGCCAAAAAAGGCGTTTTTAGGCACTTTTTGGAAAATTTTGACCGAAAAATTGCGTTTTTTCGGCGCGCGCTCCCCCCTCAAAATTAGTATATATTGGCAAAGGCGCCTTTAGAAAAATTTTAGCGTCGGTCGGCCAAAAATGGATTTCTTAGAAAGTATCAAAGGGGGGACCCTTTGGGTCGGCAGGGGGTCGAATCCCTGAGGGGGCGTCGGCCTCCCCCTTAATCCGCCCCTGGTTAGGTTAAAACAAAAGCAGTCATTTTAAACTTTAGTTGATTTCTAACAAGGCCGCACTCTGAGCAGATGGTCCGTCTTTTTTTCAGGCCTCGGTAAACTCTGCGAGTGATTTGAAACAAGTTTGAATAGTTTTCCGAACATTAAAGTTTTGAATATTTCGGTTTATTTATAAACTGACTTGAAATTGTGAAAAAAAAACGATTTATAATGGTGCTGAATTTCGATTGGCCACGTCTAGTAAATCAGGTTAAGCCACACTAAAATCAATTCAAGACGTTAAAGTTTTAATTTTTGGGCTCAATAAGTACCAAGACCCAATAGTTTTTGGAATCTTTATCAATATTAAAATAATTTTGATCACACTCGATCATTTTTGAGCTTGTTTAGTCATCCCACATTTTAATTCATTGGGGGTGAAATTTAAATAAGAAAAAGAAAAATTAGTACGGAAAAAATATTTAGCAACGAACCGCTGATCACTTAGTAAAAATTTAGATTTAGTTGCAGCTACCCGTGATGAGAAAAAATATTTGGTCGTACCCTCACCCACTAATATTCGAGTTGAGGCAAAAAACAGGTGTTGATGAGAAACTAGTCATAACAAAAATCTGTTACTTGTAACTTTAATTGCAAAAATGTGTCTAATTTTTTTTCATCATCATGTTGGAAATCTTTGCTTCGTAGCTTGATTTGTGTCAGGGTACAATCCTGGATGTTCGGACTGCCCTTTAACCGATATCAAAAAGTTTTTAATAAAAAAAGTATTAGAAAATAATAGATTTTGGTTATAGTCAAATATCAAGTGTCAAAGTTTGCGTCATACTATAATTAGCGCTATGCTTTCAGCGTTTTAAACAAAATCTTGAAAACGCGCAAAAATTACTCCAAAGTATGGTCAAATAACCTTTTTTCAACTCCCATAAATTTCAAGAAATAATCAGAAGTAAAACATTGTTAGCAATTTGAATTCAAAGAGTCGATTGCCAAAAACTGAGAGGGTAGAAAAAACCCCAAGCGTAATTATTGAATTTTTTAAACAAAAATTGCAGCAAAAAGTGAAGAGTGAACAATGGCCCAAAATTTTTTTCGTTACCATTACTTTAATTTGATTAGAAATAAGACTGCTCGTATCAGGGTGAAGCACCGATTGTTCCGACTGCTTTTTAGGGTCAATGGAGCAGTAACAACATGAAAAATTTAATGTAAAAAAAAAATGAAGTGAATTTTTTTTTGTTTTTTTTTAAGTTTTTTTTTGTAGAAATCATTCCTCCACGCGCCATAAAAAGGACAAAGTGATAAAATTTGCTCCTAGTCACCAATCAATTATGGCAAATAAGCTTCCTTCGACCAATTTTGAACGATTTCTAAGACGGATTAAATCTCCGCTTACGCGTTAATAGCGCGAAATTTATCGCGCGTTAATTGTCCCAAATTGGCCAAAATGTCAATCTTCAAACCCCCATAACTATACAAAAAATGATCACAAATAAAGTTTTTCTTCAAATTTAAGCTCAGGAAAACAATACCTTTTGAATAAAATAAAGAAAAAAATCCGTCAAAAATGGCTAGTTAAAAAGTCGAAATTTGTCTGAAGAAAAACATGTCACCCCGATCACAAACGTTCCGTTACCTTCGTTACAAAAGTCGGAACAATAAACCACATAGCATAAATATTCCGGTCTCTTCAAAAATGGAACGATAAAAAAAACGTGAACCTGTACTGAAAACTGCTCCAGGTTTTAATCATTCTTATGATAACAATCTTCATCCACTCACGTCCCAGTTACTTAAAAAATTTCCAAAATGTAATAACTTTTTGACTTTGTTTTAGCTGACAAAATGTTTCGATTTTGTTTATATCGGGGTCGGATCTAAGATTTTCTCAAAGGGGAGCGGATTTATAAAAAAATTCAAAAATTTTGTCGACCTTTTCTTAAGGTCGACCAAACTGATTTTTTGAGGTCTCCGAAATCAATATGAACACCATATTTCGACAACGTTTGTCTGCACTGCAAGCAGACTTTTGCAAAAACCGGCCAAAAAGGCGTTTTTAGGGATTTTTTGAAAAGTTTTTACCGAAAAATCGAGTTTTTTTGGCGCCCCCACCCCTCAAATTTGGTATATTTTGGCGCAATATACGCTTTTAGAAAAAATTTAGGGTACCATCTCAAAATAGTACAAAGGGGGATCTTTTGGGTAGGCAGGGGTCAAAACCCTGAGAAGGAAAAAGGCGTTCCACCCTTCCCCCCCCCCCCCCCCCCTCTTACTAAATGGGTAGGCAGGATAAATGGGTAGGTATGATAATGAATCCTTTCAGTAGCGATTCAACTTGCAAAAATATATTTCGAAAAAAATATCTGTATCAAGAAAAGTTGATTTGAAATTTTGCTATTTTGCTACTCAAATTAACTGCAAAGTTAAACCGCTTCGCACCACAAACCATTTATATTTCATACATTTACCACTTACAAATGCTCTTTTTGCATATTTAAAGGCATAATTTATTCTGAGGTCAACGCCACTTGAATTTGAAACGAAAGATATTTTTATTGCAAATGACCCATAAAAAAAAAGAAATTAGGCAACTGAAAAGAGCAACATGGTGCTACTTTTAGAAATTGAAGTTCTGATGATTATTAGTCTATTTGATCTTCATTTCTCTTTGATCTTTTTTTTTTCTTTTTTTTATCCGTCCGACAAAGTTTTAACATGTTTAAACACTTTTCTCTGGATTCCAGAGAGCTACAAACACCAAATCGTGCGCCTATCCAGTGCACAGTTTGGCCTCGTAATGTGTTGCACGTATTGATTGCATGGTATACTGATACAAGCTTAAGCATGGCCATGACTTATTTTATTTTATACCATAAACTTTCAGCCAGGTGATGTAGTGGTCACTTTGTTAAATTGAAGATACTATAAAAACAGTACAAGAAACGGTAGAAGAAAACTTATTGAAAATTAACATCTGAAGGCAATTTCTTCTTTCTGTTAGTGCAATCACAGCATGCTTTATCAAGTAAGAATTGTTAAACGTAAATTCAGTCGGAGAAAAACAACTGTTTTTGGGTCAATAGCAGTTATAATTATTTACTTTCATTATCTTCTTCATTATTATTTGCCTGAAAATGCATCGGATGACTTGTTTTTCCACACAAAAAAATCCAAAATTTTCCAGCCCGAGCTTGTACATAATTGTTCTGCATTTATTTCGAAAACTGCTTCAAAATCTAAGCTGTGGGACGCTTCAACTTCATTCGAACACAAGCTCAACTATGAAAATGAGGGGGGATCTTGGGGGGATGATTTCGACTGCGAGCATTACATCAACACCAGATTGGGGGGTTTCTTCTGGAACGATTTTTCCAGTAGCGAAGAAAAGAGTTTTCCATTAGCGTACACAATTATAGCCTATCATAATTTTGATCAACTGGAACAGCTGTTGTTGTCTATATACAGACCACACAACTTCTATTGTCTCCAAATTGACAGTTCGGCCTTAGAAGAATTCAAACAACAGGCAAGAGATTTGAGATGACCGCCCCCCTCTCTTTCCGGCTTAATTGATCCTTTTTAGACAAAAAAATCTTATGACGATTCAATTTTTTTGATCAAGCGAGTTCGACTTTGAATTTTTGCGCAGATGTTTTGTCATGAACTAACAAATTTTGCCTCAAACTTTTTTCAATAAAACTTCTATAAATTCTCCAACTTTGAAGCAAACAACATTGTTTTTATATAGGTGGAACAACTTGTATCATGTATTGCCGATACAGGTCTTAGTAGACGCCTTTTCCTGAGTTTCAAACCGCTCAACATCCATTGGGGGAGACCGTCACTGCTGAAGGCGGAGCTGGGCTGCATGCGGGATTTAGTTTTCCAGAGTGAAAGATTAGCAGAGGCCCAAGGTGTAACAGGGGAACAGGGTTCAACTCAGTGGAAGTACTTGATCAACTTGACGGGCGAGGAGTTTCCACTGGTTACGAACAAAGAGTTGGTGTCAGTTTTAAGCAGAATCAGAGGCGCCAACATCTTAGACGGTAAGGACTAATCATGCTCCTTTCTGTTCTTTCCATTATCTTCCGTCCCTCAGCCTAGTAACAAACAAATTAGCCCCCCCCCCCAGCAGAGATTTTTGTATTTTTGGGGTTGTATAACTTACTGGGGGGAGGGGAATATAAAGAGAAAAACCTTCATTTTGATAAACAAATCTCAGTTTTTTGAACATCACAGATATGTAAAGTAATGTAATGTGAACTCATATAAAAAAAGCTATTATATTGCTGGCAGAGGTCCTAAAAGTTTCTAGAATTATATTTTTTTGATAATTTGTTATTGCTGTTTCTTGTACAGTTAGTATATTTACTTGATACAGTAGTGGATTTAGGGGGTGTGGTGGGGGCGACGCTTCCTTCGTAAGGGATTCCACCCCTGACTACCCAAACGGTCTCCTCTTTGGGTTGTCAGGGGTGAAATCCCTTACGAAGGAAGCGTCGCCCCCACCACACCTCCTAAATCCACTACTGTATCAAGTAAATATACAATCTGTACAAAAAACAATAAAAAAAATTATCAATAAAATATAATTTGGTACTATGTGAAGACATCCATTTTTGGCTGACTCACCCCTATTTTTTTCTGAAGGCGCCATAGGTGCCAATAAATACTAATTTTGAGAGGGTATCGCGCCAAAAAAAAACGCGACTTTTTGTTCAAAACCTTTCAAAAATGCCTGAAACCTTTTCCTTTTGGCCTGTTTTTTTTTCAAAAGGAAAATAATTCATCGGCTATTATTTACCACCTGAAGCTAGAATTTTCCATTTAATTTCAACAAAGATTTTAAAAATAATATTTTAGTTTCAATTTCAGTTTTTATTTCAAATATCAAATTTGATTTCAATTTTTCGAGCAGTTTTTTGTCACCAACAACTAACCCGCATTGGTGTTCCATGAATAAAAATCGATTATAATTGAATTTCCTTGCCAGTTCTCACCAAAGTGGAAACATATCGATTATAATCAATCAAAAATGGAACATAATATTACTATTTTTCGAGGCAACAAAATCCTATTTTCCTCCATTATAATCGATTTTTTTTTCACTTTTGTGGACACTGACAATAAAAACAATTTATGATGTATTTTTATTCATGGAACTCCAATGCGGGTTAATTGTGGGTGACAAAAAATTGCTCGAAAAATTGAAATCAAATTTGATATTTGAAATTAAAACTGAAATTTGAAATTAAAATGGTATTTTTAAAATCTGTGTTAAAACTAAATGGAAAAATTTGGTTTTAGGTGGTAAATAAGAACCGATAAAACTTTTCCTTTTGAAAAAAAGGCCAAAACACGGCGTTTCAGGCACTTTTTTGAAAGGTTTCGACCAAAAAATCGCGTTTTTTTGGCACGATACCTCTCTCAAAATTAGTATTTGTATTTGTTGGCACCTAAGCCATCTTTAGAAAAAAAATGGGGTCGGTCAGCCAAAAATGGATGTCTAATCATAGCACCAAAAAGGAGACCCTTTGGGCCGTCAGGGGTAGAACTACTCCGAACATTTTTTTTTCGTTTCTCCGCAGTGTTATATTTTAGTTGCCATCAAAAAAAAATGCAATGAAGGATTGGGTGGTAAAATATTTCAGGAGGCTTCACCCAAATAAAGCCAGAGAGATACCCTGAGACTCTGCCCTTCAATCTGTCCAAGTACAAAAGCTCGACACATTTTCTTCTAAATAGAAAAGCAGTCGAGTTCATCATAGCAGACAGTGCATTACCCAAACTTCTCTACAAAGCCCTTCATCGTTACAATTTTCTCGAGGAGTCTTTCTTCGCAATACTGCAGTACAACCCACGAACTCTTTTTCCAGGAGGAATGCTCGTTGAACCCGAAACAAATCTCTACACCAATCAGAATTTCCCCCGCTACAAAGTGTGGAGGGACAAAGTCGAGCATTGTCCCAGTGGTATGACATCGAGGGACATTTGCGTGATGGGTATCAACGACCTTCCAGCTTTGGTACACGAAGCTTATGGGCTGCACTTTTTTGTGAATAAATTTTACTGGGATTACCAGCCGGCAGCTTGGGACTGTATAAATGTCTGGCATCATTTGAGATCCTTGGAAGAATTTGAGAATGGATCCACTAGCTTTAACCCTTTTGTGTTTGTCAATAGTTCATATATGAAATACACAAAGCCAGTACGTGGCTTTTGATATCTTATAAAATTGATGCAAAATAGTCTTTAAAATAATTTTGAATTCAATGCTTTGACTGAAGAAATTCCTTGAAGAAAATTAAGGGAAAAAAGACAACAAAAAAGACCTTGTAGTCTTTCAAGGGAAAAAAGACAACAAAAAAGACCTTGTAGTCTTTCAAGGGAAAAAAGACAACAAAAAAGACCTTGTAGTCTTTCAAGGGAAAAAATACAACAAAAAAGACCTTGTAGTCTTTCAAGGGAAAAAAGACAACAAAAAAGACCTTGTAGTCTTTCAAGGGAAAAAAGACAACAAAAAAGACCTTGTAGTCTTTCAAGGGAAAAAAGACAACAAAAAAGACCTTGTAGTCTTTCAAGGGAAAAAAGACAACAAAAAAGACCTTGTAGTCTTTCAAGGGAAAAAAGACTACAAAAAAGACCTTGTAGTCTTTCAAGGGAAAAAAGACAACAAAAAAGACCTTGTAGTCTTTCAAGGGAAAAAAGACAACAAAAAAGACCTTGTAGTCTTTCAAGGGAAAAAAGACAACAAAAAAGACCTTGTAGTCTTTCAAGGGAAAAAAGACAACAAAAAAGACCTTGTAGTCTTTCAAGGGAAAAAAGACAACAAAAAAGACCTTGTAGTCTTTCAAGGGAAAAAAGACAACAAAAAAGACCTTGTAGTCTTTCAAGGGAAAAAAGACAACAAAAAAGACCTTGTAGTCTTTCAAGGGAAAAAAGACAACAAAAAAGACCTTGTAGTCTTTCAAGGGAAAAAAGACAACAAAAAAGACCTTGTAGTCTTTCAAGGGAAAAAAGACAACAAAAAAGACCTTGTAGTCTTTCAAGGGAAAAAAGACAACAAAAAAGACCTTGTAGTCTTTCAAGGGAAAAAAGACAACAAAAAAGACCTTGTAGTCTTTCAAGGGAAAAAAGACAACAAAAAAGACCTTGTAGTCTTTCAAGGGAAAAAAGACAACAAAAAAGACCTTGTAGTCTTTCAAGGGAAAAAAGACAACAAAAAAGACCTTGTAGTCTTTCAAGGGAAAAAAGACAACAAAAAAGACCTTGTAGTCTTTCAAGGGAAAAAAGACAACAAAAAAAGACAGCACAGACAACTATTGCCTCTTCTAACGGCAAACAACGTATTGATTTATTCAACAACATAAACTTTTTTTTGCCGCAAATCACTCAAGGTAGCAGCAGACGCTAGACACTAAATAAATTCGCGGTCAAGCTTGGTCAAGGTTTTGACTAGTTTAAACCAAAAAAGGACAACAAGTACCGACTACTAGGCTATAGTTCATACTTGTCCCAGCCATTCACTGTCTTTAACAAAAAAGCTATAAGCAATGAGCGTGGGGTGCACTAAAATTTTTAAATCCTCCCCCCCCCTCCCCCCGAGAAAATCCTAGATCCAACACTGTATATTATTATAAAATATTTAAACTAGCTCATCTGATTTGAATTCTAAATATTTTAGCGTTGCAAGTCAATATCCTCCAACTCCCGACGGAGAAAATCCGGAGCGGTTTTGTTAGAAAACGGCGGACTCGGTGTTATTTTTTTTGCGCAATTGAGCGAGACGATGCAAGTGTACGGGCAGTAACCCCTTGGGCTCTTTGATTAGGTTACTCGTCATAATAGATCGCCAGTCTTGAATTCAAGCTCGAGTGGAGAGAATGCTTTATTTACAAAACGCTTGCTTACAAAGATAATCCGTCAGTCAATGTGACAATATAGAATTTGCTAAACAGAAAGTTGTAATGGCAATCGCGGAGTATTCAGTCCCATGACAGACCAATGGTGTATCAGAAACAATTGATCAGAGAGATCGGACATCCTCATTTTTACTGAAAGTCTTTTTTCTGAGTACGGCAAATAACACATTTTTTCTTTAGTATGGAATATCCAGTGCAACTTTTGACCAACAAATAGTAATGGAGTCACCAGTTGTAAGTAGGCAATGCTCTGATTCTGATTTTGGTTTTAAAATTGTAGGACAAACAACAGTAAGAGTGACTGACATTCATCTAGGTTACCAAATGCTTTGCTTCAATTCTGTTTCTGACAAAACTTTGATACGGCCGACAGAACGGAGAATATTAATTAGCGCCAAGACAAGAGAGGTTAAAAGGTCGCAATCCAGCTATTTTACTAATCTTTTTGATTAGTTGAAGAAATTCTCCTTTTTGGGAGTGATTACTTATGCAAAAACCATACCAACTGCAGACCATTTCAGTTGGACTTGTTTTTGCTGCAACTGAATGAGAAAAACGTTTCACTGGCTGTGAAAAACTGCAGCCAGTACAAAAAAATCTGAGGTAAGCAATAAATGGTTTTCCAGAAAGTGTAAAATTGCCGAAAAAATTAACGGTGGTGAAAACATTTTCATCATCTGGGCTTTGATTACGAATGCTGTTAATGACACGTTTCGGTATCCAAAATCCGCCGGATTATCGCCGTTGGCGAAAAAGTCTCTCAACAAATATGTTCAAAATGGGATGTTTTAAAATCCGATTGGCGACAAATACGGGAAGTTCTTTTAGAGATGTATCGCTGAAGCACCTTGCTATCTCATCAGAAAAATGTTCAATTTTGATAAATAGAGGGTTTTAGATATCGAAGACAAAATGCAAGAAGATAGCCCGGTGAATCCCATTTGGATTCGGCATTGGCTTTGTGGGCGCAAACCTCGGTCTTTTCAATCACAAAACAAACATGAATCCCGTTAGTTTCTGTAGCGTGAGCACAAAAAAAACGCAAGCGCGCGGAGCCTTTTTTGAGTTGAGTCGTCAACTATCTGTAAGTTTACCAATAGAAAATTTGAATGACCATGCGAGACCTCATAATATCCCATTGTCGGTAAACCAGAATGCCACTCGACAAAACGAGAAGAAAATCTTCAGTTATGGATAGTCCTACTGCTGAACCCTTCAAGTTGTCTCACTATTGACCAAATATCTACAAGAAGTTAAGTACAAGGGGCCAAGAATGCAATTGGTCGATCACGTACGATAACAAACTTGACGTGACAGGGTATGTACGCTCACGATTGACACCGCAAATTGCAATTAAAGACATCCTCTTGTTGTCCTATTTTCAGGACTTTACTAGAGATAGATAACGTTTAGGGGATTGATAGATTTTTTCAATTAATCAAGCAATGACCCAGCCGCAGAGTTCAAAATGTTTCAGCTAGCTCAGAAACAAAACCCAAGAACTCTGCTTCTTTATTAAATCCTAGTTATAGTAATACAACCATATCTTATTCAGCTGGGCCTTCTTTTCGGGGCTCTCGAAGGAATCAAATAGTCATTCATGTTAAACTTGTGCTCCACAGCAGATACCGTTATCGAATAAACTGTCTGGTTATTTTTTGCTGTGTAAAGATAGAGAAAAATAAGTGCATTGTCATTATTAGTGGATGCCGAAAATATGCCGCGTGTACTGGAACACTTCTTTTTTTGATTTGGTAGTTTCCCACCTCCAAAAACTGAAGAGATAGCTGATCACACGGCAGGACACCAACTTGCAGAAACACCAAAAAAGACAGGTTAATCGGACCGACCGACCGCCAAACCAAGATAAAGAACTACAGCTCGGAAAAGTATACCCCGTTTTGATGCACAGATTATTTCAGTAAAAAGACCTTTTCTGCCGATTTTGATTGTTCGTTTTCTGAAACCAGAAGTGCCTAAATTATTAGTTCAATCGGGATTATCCTTGTATAATAATTTCAGATAGAAATTACAATTTTTCCCATTGCAATAAAAAGTATCTGGAGATTATATTACCTCTTGTTGCAAAATATTTATCACCAATCTTCCATTTTGAGAGAGAGAGAATGTTTTGAGAGAGAGAATTTTGTAGTATCTTTCAAAACTACAACTATAACCCTTCAAAATTGCTTTTTCTTTCAAAATGTTTTTGTCCCAGCTTGGGTTATCTACTGCAAAGTTGGACACGCGGAGCATGAAAACTTTATGGAATTGGAACACAAAGAAGTTTTCATAGTTCGAGTAATAACTTTTTCTAGCGTAAACCTTACCAGTATTAAGCATTGCAAATTGTTTCCTTTTTAACATTCAGCTGTTGGCAAGCTTTTCGTCTTACCTAGTTTTGAAGGTGTGCAGAAAGCTTTTTTGGCCTCTAACTTTTTATTTTTGGCGCTTGTACGGATTTTTTTTTCAATTCTTTCGAAAATATTTTTACACTTAAATTTATCCGTCCTCTATGTTTAACAATGATAAATAATTCTTGACAACACACATCAAAGAACTTTTTTTTGCTTTCAATTAATTTTTGTTTTCACTTGAGACTTAGTTATTTGCTGGGGCGGATCTAGGATTTTCTCGAGAGGGGGGGGGGGGGGAAGGGTGTTCGAATTTTCAAAAACATTTCAAAAGTTTTGACGACCTATTTTTTTAGGTCGACCAAATTGATTTTCCGAAAAAAAGACCCTGTTTTGGCCAAATTTTCTGCGCCGCAGGAATTTTTTTGAAAAAACAGGTCAAAAAAGCCGTTTTTGGGCATTTTTTGGAAAATTTTGACAATAAAATCGCGTTTTTTTGGCGCGCACTCCCCCTCAAAACTGGTATCTATTGGCATTATCGGATAAAGTGTCTGGTTATTGTTGCTGTGTAAAGATAGAGAAAAATTAGTGCATGTCGCTATTAGTGGATGTCGAAAATATGCCGAGTGTACTGGAACACTTCTTTTTTTGATTTGGTAGTTTCCCACCTCCAAAAACTGAAGAGATAGCTGATCACACGGCAGGACACCAACTCACAGAAACACCAAAAAAGACAGGTTAATCGGACCGACCGACGGCCAAACCAAGATAAAGAACAACAGCTCGGAAAAGTATACCTAGTTTTGATGCACAGATTATTTCAGTAAAATGACCTTTTCTGCCGATTTTGATTGTTCTTTTTTTCTGAAACCAGCAGTGCCTAAATTATTAAAAGTTCAATAAAGATTTTCCTTTTGTAACAATTTCAGATAGAAATTACGATTTTTCTCATTGCATTAAAAAGTATCTGGAGATTATATTACCTCTTGTTGCAAAATATTTATCACCAATCTTCCATTTTGCAGTGTTTTGGGAGAGAGAGAAATTTGTAAAATCTTTCAAAACTACGATAATAACTCTTCAAATTTGCTTTTTCTTTCAAAATGTTTTTGTCCCAGCTTGGGTTATCTCTGGCAAATTTGGACACGCGGAGCATGAAAACTTTATGGAATTGGAACACAAAGAAATTTTCATAGTTCGAAAAATGCCTTTTCTAGCGTAAACCTTACCATTATTAAGCATTGCAATTTGTTTCCCTTTTAACATTCAGCGGTTGGCGAGCTTTTCATCTTACCTAGTTTTGCAGGTTGTGCAGAAAGCTTCTTTGGCCTCTAACTTTTTCTTTTTGCCGCTTGTACGGATTTTTTTTTAAATTCTTTCGAAAATATTTTTACACTTAAAATTATCCGCCCTCTATGTTTAACAATGATAAATAATTCCTGACAACACACATCAAAGAACTTTTTTTTTGCTTTCACTTAAGTTTTGTTTTCACTTGAGACTTAGTTATTTGCTGGGGCGGATCTAGGACTTTCTCGAGGGGGGGAGGGGGGCTTTTTTTCAAAAAATTTTCGAAAATTTTGATGACCTATTTTTTTTAGGTCGACCAAATTGATTTTCCGAAAAAAAAGACCCTGTTTTGGCCAAATTTTCTGCGCTGCATGCAACTTTTTCAAAAAACAGGTCAAAAAAGCCGTGTTTGGGCTTTTTTTGGAAAATTTTGACAAAAAAATTGCGTTTTTTGGAGCGCACTCCCCCTCAAAGTTGATATCTCTGGGCGCCTAAGGCGCCTTTAGAAAAATTTTAGGGTCGGTCGGCCATAAATGGATTTCTTAAAAAGTACCAAAGGGGGGACCCCTTCGGTTGGCAGGGGGTCGAATCCCTGAGGGGGGCTTCCGCCCTTCCCTAAATCCGCCCCTGGTTATTTGTTCTGCGGAAAAACTTGAATGAGCTCGAATATTTACATCATCCATAACATGATTAATTGTCCTAATACTTTTTGAACTAAACTCATTCTCGTGCTTAGCTTGAGTTTTCGATATTTGAACCATAGAAAGCAGAAGACAAAAATTTTAATTTATCGAAACATAAGTGAGCATTAGTAAGCTTGGCAATGTTTGGCTTACAGCTATTTCGTCATCATTCAATAGCGTATTTTATCATCATCTAATACTTAAAAATTTGGCTGAGAAATTATTGCTCCGACCAATTTTAACATTTAACGGTTAGTTTTAGCCATCAGATGCTTTTAACTGTTAATTTTAGCATAAGACTTTTTGACGATAAAAAAATTTGACAACATCTAAGCACAGAAATGCTCAATTACGATAGTTTTGGGAAAAGTTTTGACCTTGAGTTTTTGACTTAAAGAACAGTCAAAACCGCTTTCAATTTTCTTTTCTAAAACTATGGTCGGAGCATTCTGTAAATAGTTACACAGTAAATAGTGACCTTGTCTTTATAGAATTTATCGCTGTTTCTCCAATTTGCGGAGTAGCTTCGTGATAAATTTCAGTTCTGGTTCCAACTCTTCAACCTTTTCAGCCCACTCCCGCTGAAAAGAAAAAGAGTATAAATTGACCTTTAAAAATTTCATTTCGATACAAAAAAATAATAATGTATTTTGCGCCAGATTTAGCTCTTTGGGCTGAGCAACCAATTAAGTAGCTAACTTAAAAACCGAATTAAAATTAAGAGCAGATAACACAATGTGTTTAAACGTGCACAATGAATTAAAATCAAAATACTGATTAATACTTTGTTATCCTGAACATTCAAGGAGCTTTCTATTTTCTTCTCAATTTCATCAGCTGGAAATGAGAAACAAGTTTCAAGTCAGGCGGTAAAAATGGTCCATCCAACCAAAATCAAAACAAATTAGTATTTTAAACTCATTCAACAGTTATGCAGTTCCTTATCAGCTGAAAACAGAGTGTTTCACTTTAAACTTTCGAAAAGATTGCGAGACTCGAATTGAAATGTTGGACCAGTTAACACCGAGCTCCTCAAACTAATCAAGTCAAGATTTGACATCCAAAAAATTGGATGAAAACTGCTTAGCGCTACATGTTATGTGCTCGATTTTAATTGGCTCATATTTCCAAATTTAGCAAACATTTTAACACCGATCTCCTAAACAGCTTCAGGCGTCGACTGATATTAACTTAATGTTTCTGGGATCTACTATTGACACCAGACCTGAAAATTGGCTAAAGTTGACCCGAAATTTCGTTTTCTTCCAACTATTGCGTTTTAAACTCTTAGAAAATTAAGTAATCTCACTTACCCTCTCTCGTTTGTTTTGGGGGGTAAGATGTCCTCCCGGGGGCAAATGCTGCAGCTTATTTCGCAGCTGAAACAAAAAAATAATACTCTAGCAAATTTTGACAAGTCTCCAGGTGTTTTTTTTTCGTCAATTTTGTTCTCGCAAAATTTTAAGAGCTTTTTGCTACTATTATTTGTTGTGATTATAATAGTAACCTCAATTTAACTTTTTTGTGATAAAGTTAGGTTAAAACTTGCCCTTAAATCATCATTTTTATCGAATAAAATCTAACCGTCTGCAGTTTAACTTGTATGTCTTGGTGTAGTTGTTTCAGTTCCGCCAACGACAGGTGTGAATACTTCATCAGATCTGTCGGGACTCCTCCGCCCATACCACTGTTTCCTCCCACCATCATTTGGACAGGGGGAGGAGGGGTTTGGAGAATGGGGGTGTGTGGTGAGGCGACGCTTTGGTACTTTGCAAGCTCCATGCTTAGCTGATGCACTCGGGCATTGGCCAAATTCAATTGCTCCTAAAAATAAAAACGATATTGACTGTGAAAATTTTGAAATAAAAGTTTCAAAAATAAAATTTCATACTTGATTTCTCGTCAGCATTGCTATTTGCTCGTCTTTCTCCCGCAGAATTCTAAAAACTCGTCAACCAATTTAAAAATTAATCAAAATTTTATTATATATTATTTAAAAAAAAACTTCAATAGAAATCCGTTGCCGAGAGAACGACGCCAATTTTATCTCGCTAAAAACGTCTGTCAACTTCCGAAGTTTTTTCAAATTCTTCACTGTTTTTTGGCAAATTTTTAAATTTTAAAAATTTGTAACATTAGCAACTAACTGTTGTGTCATTTGAGGGCTGTCTTTTTGACTTTGCAGCTGCTGCAATTCTGACTCGTAATATTCCTCCAGATCCGCCAACTGCTTCTCGTGTTTTTTCCTTAGCCGCTCTTCCTTCGTCTTACCCTCATTCAAATGTCCCAATTCGTCGTCGATGCTGCCGCATGGCGTCTTTGTCGACTCATCGCCCGGAAAGTGAAAGTCCGAATCAAAATCAGCAATGTTGCTGGGTTCCTCTTGCAGTCGTTGTTTTTGTTCGAGGCTTGGCATCAGTTCGTTAACTAGGCAAACACTCGGATAGTCAGACTTCAGAGGGAATAGTATGAAAAGAAATTTATCGTTTCAGATGTTACCTTTTGGCTTCTGATTGGAGGCTAGATTTATCCCGCTTTTGTTTTTGGCACTTGGAAGGGGTTGCTGAAAAAAGAAACACTGCAAAAAACCGCTCAAATTAAAAAGGAACTAGGAAAAGCAGTTGTAGTCCTCAAACCAATTGATAAATAATTAATAGTTATCGCAATGCACAATCAAGTTTGACTAAATTGTCTTCTGAGATTTTCTAAATCACTAAAAGACTATTTTTTGTCATTTCTGAGCAGTAGAATTTTTTCTGCATTGAAATTTTAGATGATATCTAATTGAAGGACGCCCGCAAATTGAATGAAATTTGATATCATTGAAACTAATGGCTGGTCTCTTACTACTTTTACCCCTTATATTTTCACCTCACAGGAGTTCTACCCCTTGCAACTTAAAGATGAAGTCGCTTGATTCAAATTGTGTGTACTTACAAACTGTGTGTTTGACCTCTGTTCTTTCTCTGGTAATCCCTTGTACTTTCGGGGCCCCTTAATCTGGGAGTACCAGCCGTCAACCCCTTCGCTGTCTCGAGTCACTTCGCCTTCGTTCTCAAATGTCTCCGTATGTTCTCCATCTAAAAGGAAATTTTTTCGTGTCAACTTTTTGGATTCTTATGATTAAATTGTTTGAAGAAGTTTTTGGGCACTTTTTGCCACCCCCCCCCCCGTGCCCCCCCCCCTAAATCCGCCCCTGATATATATATATTCATATATTTTTGGTATTCATATCCAGTTTGTAAACCTTTTTAAACATCCTAAGATATTGATGGAGCATTTATGTTCGGCCTTGAAGGCCAATCTTCAGGTGACTTCACGGCACCAGAGTAGTTGCAAATAACAAAAGATAATACGTCACTTAGTGTTGCGATGTTAAGCTTGATTTTTTTCTCGATTTTTCACGTGTATTTTTGTATAGTTTAAGCAATTTTCCAGAACTTTATTTGCAATTCCTAAGCGAAATAGTTGAAATAGCGTGATCTATCGGACATTTTTTGTGAATATCTTATGGAATTTTCGTTAAGTTGAAATGTCATACCGAAATTTCAACCAAATCAGTGTACCAGGGCAGCTGGGAATATAAATTTGGTTGACCTAAATAAAGTCTAGTCTAACGAAGCTTATAAATCAACCCCTCTCGCTCAAAAAAAACGCTCTCCAACTGAAATGGTCAGACTCTTTTTTTAAAAATTTTTTGACGAATAAATGTCAAAAAAAGTTCTACAATCTACACAACTGTTTCTCAAATCCGTAAAAGTGTCACGTGATTACCTTCTTTCGTGGCATCGAAGTGAACCCTGGATGCTTTTTTCTTCCTCTCCTCTTCCTCCTCCTTCTGTTTCTCGCGTTCAGCCGCCGCAACCCTCTCCCCCTCCCGTTCTTTCTCTATCCTCTCGACTTCTCCCCTCAATCTCTCCCTCTCCCGCTCACTCTCCTCTTTCTTAGCCCGCTCTTCTCCCAATTGTCGTTCGCTGGCTGCTCTGTCATTTTTCACACTTTCCCGAACGGTTTCGAGTTCCCCTGCCAACCGTGAAAGATGTTCCCGGAGGGAGAGGTTCTCGTCGCCTAGATTGTTCACAAGGTGTTCCAGCTCCGAAATGCGATGTTTATGCTCCTGAAATTGAACACAAATCGATTGTTTAACTTCCTGATGAAAAAGATTTGAAGATTTTTTTCAGTAACAAACTAATCGGTAAAAACGATTTTTTATTATTTTCGAAAAAGGGAGCATAATTAGAAAAATTAAAATTCTCGGTTTTTTTTACTTAGGTCAGACCCAAAACATAAGGACAGCTCTGTTCAAGTGAAACCTCCATAATTTTTTTTACTGTCCTCGAGATGATTTTTGTTCAACTATCAACTTAATTTAACCCATCGTTGTTCTCATTTTCATGTAACTAAACCTGAAAAAAAAACTTCATATTTCTATTTCAAGACTAGAATAGTTTGTTTAAAAATTGAAATTTGATCTCAAAATTTGTTTTGGAGAAAAAATTTCTTAGAATCCAAAATACTCTAAATGATCGCACACTAACCTTGTCACAGTTCAACTTCATAGATTCCAATTTCAGCTCAAAGTCACTTCTGATCGCTTCAACTTCCCTTTCATTCTCCTCCCCCCTCCCCTCTGCCAGCCTCTGGTTTTCTTCTCTCAGCCTCCTCTCGAGTTTTTCCAGGTCCTCCACCGTCGCTTCAAGGTTGCTGTTCCTATTTTCTAGCTCGGCTATTTTATTATCCAGACGTGCGATTTCTCGTATATTTAAATCGGTTTGAACTAGTAAGTTTTGATACTCGACATTGTCTTTTTCAGTGGCCGTGTTTTGTGACTTCCGAGGTGTCGGAGGCAATTTAAGAGCGTTTCTTTTGATTTGGGACGGAATTTTAAAATCCGGTTGGTCAAAAAACTGCTCGAGATGTCGTTTTTTGTTATATCCTGAATTTGTTTCGTTGGGCCAGCTTAGAATGTTTTTACCCTGATCGAAATCTTGCATCATTTGATCAATTTCGTCAACCAAACCACAATAAACATCAACCGTTTTGTTACTCTGAACTTTACCTGGATCATTTTTGAATTCATCTTTTGGCTGACTCTTAAGTGATCTATCAATGGACGAAAAGTGCTCGTAATTGTGTTCATAAGAATCCGAAGGCGACTTATTATTCACCGTCTCGAAGTTGGGATCTTTCTGGCTTGATACGTCGACGCGTAGAGGTCTCAGCGGTTCGGACTCTTTCTGAGATTCACAGTCTTCGAGTGCGTCAAAATTTTCATCATTTTCGTCGCGTTCGTCGATTGTTTCAGGCCAAAATGATAAGTTTTCGAATCTCGTTGGAATTTGCAGTGGCAGTTGACGGCCCATTTGGGACATGATGTTTTCACTTTCAGAGAATCCTGGACTTTTCTCAGTTTCATGTGGATAACTCGTCATTCTTAGACCTCTTGGGTTAAAGTTAAATGACGCGCTTAGATGAAAATCTTCATGACTATGCTCAGTGGAGTTCAAGGGCAACGCGAGGGTACTCGGCTGCAAAGCGCCAAATGGCAGCCTTGTTCCAAAATTAGGCTGGCTTTCATTCCTCTGGTTGTTTCTGAGGAGTCCATACTTCCCCAAAATACCTCTGATTTCGTTTTCAATAGCAGTAGAGGAGTTTTGGTAGGTTGGACTCAATGCACCGTAAGCAAACTGAGACATAATTAAAGCTAATTTTTGAAAAACTTGTCAATTATCTTGCTTTTCAATGCTTAACTGCAGCTAAAAACGCAAAAACACGCAGAGCAAACTAATATACAGTATAAGTAGTAGCATTTAATCTGTTCAAAATTGATCAAAGTACATGCAGACAGATTTTGAATATAAATTTAACCATAAATATGTTCGCAATGTGGTCAATGCTCTTGTTGTTTTAATAAATAAGCTGTAAAAATGTTATACCAGATATTTGAATTTTTTACCACCTGATGTCAACTATCAGTAACTATTTGAACAAAATATTAATGTTTCAACAGTTTTTGAAAAATGGCTCCGTTTAGGGTACCTAGTAACGATTGTTCCCTGTGGCGTGAGCAGAAATTTTTCTAGGGGGGAAGGGGGTGGTTTTTTGAAAAGTTTTGAAAACTTTGCCAAAATTTTAGGCCCTTTTGCGCATTTTTTGGAAATTTATGTGTTTTTGGGCACTTTTTGGAAATTTTTGACCAAAAAACTGCGTTTTTTTTGGCGCGCGCTCCCTCTTCAAAATAAGTCATTTTGGCGCTAAAGGCGCCCATAGAAAAATTTTGAGGTTGTTCAGCGAAAATCGGATGTCATAAAGTTATAGCAAAGAGGGGACCCTTTGGAAAAATTTGGCAACCAGAATTGAGGGAAGGCGGTTCCCCCCCCCCCCCCTCTTCAACACGCTACTGAGCCTCCCTTTATGAAGAAATGAATCAACGGGTAAGTCATATGAGAATTCTCTACTTAGTAACGAATCTCCCACCTTTAGCAAAAATTTTGGCCGATCAACTCAAAAATTCTAATAAAGAGCTCAACTTATCAATTTGAGCTCAGGTTGTCAATAGGTTTCAGATGGTATAAGAAATTTCCGTCACAAACGAATAATTTTATAGCCAATATTAGTCTGAACAAAAAGTTACCGCGCAAGCATTTTTACTCAGTCAGTTTTTCCTGTATAAGCATAATCCATTTCTCTTATTTCCCCACATTCCAGACTGAGTTATTTTGATGAGGAAAGCTTTTTTTGCTACTCAAGACGTTGTTTTTTTGTGTCTAGAATTTGCACGTGATATCACTATTGTAGCCGTAGACGGTCAAGCTGTCGTAGGCCTGAAGCTAGAGGTCAAGTGAGAGCTCGTCCTTACACACTATCATTTACATGGCAGGGGATTGGAGTGAACGCCTTACCACTATTCTAAGTGCCCACAAGTAAGTATTATGCTTTTTGTTTCGTGGTATATATTTTTTTTGGGACAATTAACTTGTTTAATTCAGTTTGGAAAAATTCTGAGCGAGCGTTGAGCATAAGAGATGATTAGTTAAACATTCCCTAAAAATAGTGTAACCCCTTTGACAACATTGGCAATTTTCTAAGCCTGAAAACTTAACAAAAAAAGATTGCAGCAAAACAAGGAATAGCAGGTACTAAGCTTTCAGGTTTTTCTGTATCTGATAGACAAAGTCTGTAGTTTTTCAACTTTATCTTTTTCCGATATTTTAATGCATAAAAGTAGTGCTTGAAAAACTTCAACTGTATTTTAAGAAAGAACTAGCGTATAAGCTTTTATAATATGAGCTTACGGCATCTATAACCAGTCGAGATAGAAGCATTCTAGAAAAATTCAAAACATTGTTTTCTTTCAGACCAATTTTTGCTGAATAAAATCAAACCCAATCAAACCAAACGAGATGGTGTGAGAAAAAATTTAGTGCTTCAATGCTTTTTCTTCCGTTTTGACTTGTACTTTTTTGACATGACGCTCGCGATCAACGTTTGCGTTCCAAGGTTCAAGTTAACTTTTTTCAAAACGCTGCTGAAAAGCTATTTTTCATTTCTTTTTTCGAGCTTCTGCATGCTAGTCTGCATATGAAACCCACAAAGGCTTTTCTTCAAAAGTTCAAAAAAAACCTTCCTGATAAAACACTGTGAGAATGCAGACTGTGCAAAACCCTGATTAAATGTTCAAGTAATATGATACACCGTATAACGTGGTTTTCATTTATTATTTGCTTGACAAAAAAATTGTTTTCATTTTAGCGTACGAACTGTTAATTCCTTGGATATCTACGAGTAATACAATCTATACTCGAATTATTAGAAAAGTCCCTTGTGTACTTTTTTTAAGCGCAGTTTTTGCTTCTCAAGGTTCTTAGAAACTCACAAAGGTTTTTTTGTTGTGTTTACGTTGACTTTCAAAAAGCGTTTTATTCTCTTTTTTTTTCATAATTGTGTTTCTATTCTATCACCAATCTGCCTAACTCAATCACTAAATTTTCTCCAGGTATTTTCAGCTGATGGTCTGAAATAACTGTTCAGTGACATCTGCTCAATAAACCTCGGTGATTTATATATTCGGTCTGGTGCTGAGTCATAAAAAAAGGTCTCGGTTGTCATGCAGATAAAACAAAATTGATTTAACAATAATTTTTTCACCATTTGTTTTTCAACGGATCAAAACTCAATTTGTTTTTTTAAGCTAGAGATTAGTTTATAGCTGGAGTTTTCAAATGTTTTGCTTATTAAATCAGCTGAGAAAAAAAATAGTAATTTAAAATGAACCCTGTTATTTCTCTATATGATAAAAACCGTTTGCTGATTGCACCAGCTGAGAAAAAAGGTTACAAAAAACGACTAAATCAAATAATTGACTTTAAAAAATGCAGTGTATTGTATCGCGTTTCACTTCCAGAAACAATTTCCGGCTTTGATGAAGTTGAACACTTCCAGAACGATGCTGCAACCCGAAGAAATTCCAAAAAATCCGAAAAATTGTTTCTTCGAACACGGTAGACATCAATTAAATTTACTCAACTATTTTGCCACTTCCGAAGTTTTTGTCAAAATTAAATTTTGATGCAGCAACAAAAACCTTCAAAAAAGCACAATACTATTTTGTTTATCCTGTATAAGTATTCTGTAGAACAAAATCAAATCCGATAGTTATAAGATGAATTCGAATTTCAATTTTACAAAGATTTTTTAGCTCATTTGTGGGTTGCTGGTGCAATGTTCTACTCTCGCTATCAATTATTGCCTTTTTAAGATTTATTGGCCTTTTTAGAACGTTGCTATTCCTTTTTGCTATGACAAGTGGTTAACTACTAATTACAAATTAGTTGAGCTTTTTTTAGCTGATGGCCTGAATTAACTGTTTAGAGACAACTGCTAAAGAAACCTCGGTGATTTATATGTTCGGTCTGGTGCTGAGTCAAAAAAAACTGTCTCGGTTGTCATCCAGATAAAACAAAATTGACTTAACAATGTTTTTTTCACTATTTGTTTTCAACGGATCAAAAATTTGTTCAGCTAAAAAATTTGATAAGTAATTGCACACTAATAACAATCACAATTTGTTTTGGTAAAGATAGAGATTAGTTTCTAGCTCGAGTTTTCAAATGTTTTGCTGATTAAATCAGCTGAGAAAATTGTAGTAAAATAAATTGAACCCTGTTATTTCTCGGTATGATAATAAAACCTTTGCTGATTGCACCAGCTGAGAAAAAAGGTTACAAAAAAAACCCAAAAATTTTTTTGAGTCAAACTTTCTGAATAAAATCAAACGCGACTAAATCAAAGAAATGATTTTAAAAATTACAGTGTTTTGCATCTTGTTTCACTTCCAGAAACAATTTCCGGCTTTTTGATGAAGTTAAACACTTCCAGAACGATGCTGCAACCTTAAGAAAGTCCGATAAATCCGAAAAATTGTTTCTTCAAACACGGTAGTCATTAATTAAATTTAATCAACTATGTTGACATTTACAAAAAATTTGACAAAATCAAAAATTGATGCAGCAACAAAACCTTCAAAAAACACAATAGTGTTTTGTTTGTCGTGTTTAAATTTTTGAAGCAGAAATTCAAAGCTGATAGTGATAAGTTGAGTTCAAATTGCAATTTAACAAGCATTTGCTAGCTCATTTGTCGGGTGCTGGTGGAATGTCCTACTCTCACGATCATTTATTGATTTTTAAGATTTAGTGGCCCTTTTAAAGCGTTGATATGGCTTTTTGATGTTAAAAGTAGTTAAATACTAAATATAAAATAGTTGAGTTTTGCGGCTGATCAAAAATGTTTGATTTTTTGATGCTACCAGAAAGCAGCCGTTTATAGAAAAAACTAAATGTTTTTTTTTTGATCAACGGTTAAGTATTTTTTTCGCCGATAAAATCAAAAATGTAGCTTTTAATATACTTGATTTGCTTTTGATTAGGTTAACTTTATAACCCAAAATGTTATACCCCTATTCAGTTTTATTTTCCTCCTTCGCTGCCCCAATAATCTCAGAGTCTAAACTTTTCTAGATATCTTGCGAAAAAGTACATCATTTTTTCAAGATTGGCATTCCATTTGCAAGGGTATGATGTTTGCTGTTTTTTGTATACTCAGTGATTTTTTTAAGTTTGTGCTAATATCTAGCAGATAATCAATTAAGCGGATAAAGCTGCTGATCGTAAGGCGCAAGAAAATAAAAGCAACTTGCACGCAGCACGCAAAATCAATGTTTTCAAAATGTTTGTATATACATCGTTTTCATTTTTGTAAAAAAAAGAGTCAGTTAGGCATAATTTAAAAAAACTAGGTTTTTCTTAGCAAGCTATTCATGCTTCGAAACTTTTAAGTATTTCAAATTTATACCGCGAATCTGTATGCTTAAAGTTCGTTTTCTAAGCCTGGTGGTTGCTGGCTGTTTTTAGTTGATTCGTTTCAAACCGAAATAAAAATCCGTTAAAGCAAAATTTTGGACAAAGAGTGCGCAAGTACCGTATAGCCTTGCAGCTGAATCGAGTTCATCGTTATTTTAGAGTTCCGGACTTTTTTTGTAAAAAGATTGTAGAACATTCCAGACTTTCGAATATTCGATGGTTGCTCTAAATTTTATATATTAAATGAAACTCCAAATGTGCAATGGACGCAATGTTTAACTGAACACAATGCTTAAGAAATATTAGGAGACAATGTTTAAAAGGCTATCGAGCGTAACGTTTAAGAATCATTCAGAGCAACCAGCCTTCAAGGCTAGACAGTACCTGCCTAATTTTGTCCAAAAGTTCATTTAACTTCTGTCTGGAACTGGGACTGTCAA